GCAACCTGGGCCGGAAGCGGCCCGCGGGCCGTAGGTTGCCAACCCCTGCCTTAAACATTTAAGGAAGGTGTATTAAGGGTGTCATTCACAAGGAGTCTTCAGGTGTTTCTGAGGTAAAAAAAGGTGGCCTCAAGGCATTGACAGGAAGACCTTGTGACCTGTGGTAATAGGTATCAGGGAGAAAAAGACCTTTTGAGTTGTGGCATCCCAAATCCAGTCCAGATTCCCACCAGATCCCATAATTTTTCTTTTTCAAAAAAGCAGCAAAGATAGTTCTACTCTTAATAAAGGCTATCTGCTCTTGTTATTAAAAAACCTGTGGTTTTGCTCTCAATTTTTTGTTTAATTGCTGATATTTTTATTGTTCTTTCAAAAATGGTAATTTGCTTTGATTTTAAAAAAGCATGAATGACTGAATAAAATAGCAAATGTACATGGCAAAGCAGCTCTAATACAAGGTACTTGCAAATACATAAACCTAAATAAAGTCATGACACTAATATGGGAATGTGCTTATTCTGACTGCAGGGATATTTATATTTATGGGATACCCATTGGAGAACTTATGGCTGTAAATAGAAGAGTAATTCAGATACCAGATTCTGAAACAGAAGTTGGAATACTCATACCTAGCTCCAGAACAAATTTTGTCATCTAGTCTTTAGGATCAGGACCCAAAGACAGCCAACTTGGAAAAAGATCTTTCTTAATTTGCTTAAAATTCCAGAAGGTAACCTGAAAGAGTAATGATAAGGCTCTTTTGAAATTCAGTACCACTTCGTCAAAATCTATTGCAGCATCCCTATAAGTGGAGCCAGTGTGGCATTGTAGTTTCAATATTAGACTACAATTCTGGAAACCAGCGTTCAATTCCATGGTTCAGCCATGAAACACACTGGGTGACCTTGGGCAAGTAACATGCTCTCAGTTTCAGGGGAAGGCAATGCCAACTCTCGTCTGAATAAATGTTGCCAAGAAAACCCCATGATAGGTCTGCTTTAGGATCACCATAAGTCAGAAGTGACTTGAAGGCACACAATGAGATCTTTATTATTAATTAGTTTTTCTTTAACACTTCCTCTTAACATAGTTGTATAAAATTATGAAGTTACGTATCTTTATATAGTTATAGATTTTCACATTTCTTTTTTCTTCTTTAAGAAGTCATAAAAACAAATATATTGAGTTAATCCATATAAATAAGAAGCAAGGTTATGCATATGGCTGACACATTTTATAGGAATAACCACATTACCAAAACTATATGTAAACACAATGAATTGGCTCATGTCTACTTGATCCTTAGTCTCAAGTACAACACATTAACTGATGTCATGGGAGTACTCTACTTATAATAACTGGATACAGGGCAATGTTCCATCCTATCATTGGGAGAAGCCACTCAGGGTTCTCTGGCTAGCCAGAAGGAAAGGAAGGATTTCTGTGCAGTCCTCATTCTTCTTTCAGACCCTTGCATCCTTTCCCATGCTGTTCTGAAATGCCCTTCAACTCACTAAAGTAGATTGGGACTGAGATCAGTGATTGTATAGGAAAAGGTAGAAACATTCTGCAGGCAGAACATGTTCATCCAACTATAGATAATACCAGTGGCATACCTAGTAAATTTGACACCCAGTGGAGATAATTTTTAATACCCCCTCCTCTCCTCAAAACTTTTTCTGGTTCTGGTGGAGCTGCTGGCCAGACCTGCTGGACATGGAAAGCTGCTCCTGATGGGAGTGGGCTGCTGCTGATGCTCTATAGCAGGGGCAGGCAACCTTTTTAAGCCAGGGGCCGGGTTGCTGTCCCTCAAACAATTGGGGGGCCGAAGCACCAAAAATAAATAAATAAATTAATATTTTTTTTAATTAAAAATTTAAAAAATATGCATGCACACTCTCTCAGCACCAGAAAAGCCATGGCAAAACCCCTGTGGAGATTTTGCCAAGAAAACCCAAGAACAAGTAATAACAACAATAATCAATATCATGGCGGGTAGCGGCAGCAATGGGGGCAGCAGCGGTGGCAGCAGGACCAGCCTGGGGCCAGTCCAAAGGTCTCAGGGGGCCGCATCCGGCCCCCGGGCCTTAGGTTGCCTACCCCTGCTCTATAGCCTTTACAGGTTTGCTGGCCGGGCAGGAAAGGGATTTACCAGACCCAAAAGGCAGCCTCTTCCTGGCTGCCAGTGGGGGTGGGCTGCAACTACCACCCAGGGGCCTTTTTCCCATTCAGTCAGCAGTCCCACCAGATCTGGAAGGAGCTACTTCAATCCCTCCAGCAGCTGCAGCTGATGGACAGCAGAAGGGGCAGTCAGGATGAGTCTTGGGACAGACAGGAATGACCACCCCACTGCATGTTTACCTCCTCTGTGGTGTCACCCAGTACAGTCCATGCTCCCTGCACCTGATGCCCTCCTCCCCCCGGAAATACACTCAAATCATATTAACATACTGTAAAGTGTCCTGGGGAGATGGAGGATCCTCCCCCCTTTCAAAGAAGTAAAATTAACCATTGCTAAATAAACCAACATGATTCATTAGGAGAATGAAAGCTGTCAAATTAAATCTTTCTCCAAGTAACTCACCTATCCTGGTAAGTGGTAATGGCAATGCTGGGAAGGGTCAACAAAGCCAAAGTTGTGGGTCTAGAAATGTTCTCTCTGTCTGGCGTTCTTGCATTTCCACTCTGTCTTTGGGACAGTGGTGGTAACAGTAAGTTTCCAGAGCAGCATCTTCTTCCTCTCCAGAGATCTATTCCAAGGGTGTTGCTAGATGCACTGTATGACTTGCTGAGACCACATTCTAAGTAATCCTTGGCATTCTGTGGATGAAAGCAAAAATTTCAATATAAAAAGGATAAAATTCATAACATTAAAATATCAACCTCAAGAACAGCTTTGGAGGTAACTGTTAAATCACACAGAAATTATATAAATATAAAAATCACATAAAACCACATAGATCTGCTAATTTAAATAAAATAGGTAAGAAAATATTCAGTTTCACTCTAATACA